GAAGTCCGATGGAGCAAGGCCTGGCGAGTAAGGCGGATGAGCCATAACGTTGAGTTTGACTTCGCGAAGATAGTCAAGTACGATGCCACTGACATGTGAGCGCGCATTGTCATGGTGCGGTTGGATACGACAGATCTTTGCTGATGATCTTTCTTGCACATATTTCGAGCCAACGGTTTCGGTCAGACATTCATCGCAATAATAGGTGCCGTATATTGATGTTCAATGCTTATAGGGGATCTTCACGCTCTAAGTCTTCAATACCGTCGATGTTCCGTTGAGTAACCATGGTGATTGGTCGACCGACTCGATGATCATCGTAGAATGACTCCCGCCCACTGGAGAATCGACGAATCCAACGTGCGGCTGTGCAATATGATACTACATATGGACCATAAGCAGTGACCAATTCATCATGAATTTCCGTAGCGGCTAAATCCAGAAGCGAGCGATTCTTTATATAGGAGTGTACGGAGAGCTTATCCATGTCAAAATAGGGGTGTTCAAAGTTCTGATTAACGGTCCGTCATTCTTGACAGTTTTAAAACTTTCTATGGGTACTTGGATACACGACAGATGTCGCTACTAAAGTAACCCAATATGATCCGTCAAGTCAATAGAGATGAAATTATATATTCTCTTTCTCGTAGAGAAGAGTCTTAGAAACATAAATTGTTTGCTTGCTTGTTTGCTTGTATGTCCGCAGGGTCAAAAAAACATTGAAAATCGATTTTTCGAAAAGACATTTCCAGATGCATTTCGATGCGGAGACTTCGAATCTGATGCTATTTTTTGAAATTTTTCATTAAAAAATTTTTTTTGAGACAAAGACCCATTTTTTTATGAAAAAAATTTTTTTTTATAAAAATTTACCGCAGAGATTCTGAGGTTGAAGAGAAGAAATCTGATGTTATTTTTTTGAGAATGGAAAAAAAATTTTTCAAACCAAGGATAGCGACTTTCAGAAAAACATTTATAACTTGTTTACGAGTTCGACGCTTTCTTGCTCAAGACGCTGAACAGAAACGTCTAGACGAACTTGACAAAAAAAGAAAACGAGAATGTACCTCTTCCGCTTTTTCAACGTGTATAAATCGATACACTGTTAAGAGTTTAGTGCTATTACAAGCATATGAAATGTATTATCACTTTTCAAATTATCTTAAAATAATTATTCGTATATGTTCATTTTTTACCTCTTTCTTTGTATTTATCTTAATTATTGTAGTAATCGTTTCTTTTCTCTCATTGTAGCAGATATTTCCTATCGTGTTTTCTTATTTTCTTTTTTCATGTAATAACTCATAATCTACTTAATTGTATTGACACTTATTTAGAATGTCTGATTCTCAATTTGATATTTGGTATAAATATCTATTACTACTTTCGTGAAAATATCTAATCTACACTAAAAATAAATTAATGTACACAATAATATCTTTAAAGTGTAATATCTG